AAAGAGGAGATGGAAGTACACCAGGAAGCAGGTTTTGGCAAACCAGGGACGGAAATCAATTTCCGCCTAGAAGTCAGGGTCTAATCCGACATAACGCCACGCTCCCCGCGGGGCCCAGGCCGCTGGCGCTCGCTCAGCTCCCCCCGTCGCCCCCCCCCCCCCCCCCCCTAGTTTCTAAACCCTAGAGTCCCGCCTCGGGGGTGGCCCAAAGCAATGCGCAGACCGCGCCGTAGCCTCCCTCTCCTCCCCCTCTGTCACCTCCATCGACGCCGCCACTCAGGCGCCCGAGGCTGCAAGAACTATCCGGCGCCCGCCACCGGGCCCGGCCGCTGGGAGGCGTCCGTCGGCCGGCGCTGAACGCGACTCCTCGCTACTGACCCGGTCCCCTCCCCTGTTCTCCGTCGCCGACCGTCCATGCTTCCTCCCCTTCCCGCCTTGCTCCCTCTCCTCCATCCTCTCCCAGCCTCCCCTCCGCCCCCTCGCCTCGCCCTCTCCCTCCCTCCTCCGCGCTCCTCCTCCGCCCCGATTCCATCTCCTACTCGCCCCCGTCAAACTGAGTTCGACTTCTCTCCGAGAGCATCGGGGCCTCTCGGCGCCCTCCGCCGCCCTCCGCCGTCGGTCCCCTCCCCTTCCCCCTCTCGGGCGACCACGCCCCTCCCTCGTCGCTCGCGTCTCGCGGCCGGCCTCGCAGTTCGCTTCCCCTGGTCCCCCGCCTCGGCCTGCTCGCCCGCCGCGTTCCTCTCTTCCCCCCCGAGCGACCGCCTCCTCGCCCGCTCACTACCTTCGAGGCGCTCGCTATCGTCGAGGGTCTCCGTCATCGGCATCTGCCGTCGCCTTCGCCTGGGTCCCTGCGATGGGGACGGCGGGGGCGAGGAGGCCGGGCGCCTGCGCTCAGGGTACCTGAAGGCGTGCTTCGTTGACTAGCGGGCTGGGCGGCCGGCGGCGAGGGGAGGACGTGGAGGGGGTTGCTACGAGAATGCCTGCCAGAGGATCAGGGTCTTCTACGACGCGGGGGCGGCGAAGGGGGGATGGGGGTTTTGATGGGGAGGGAGAGGAGGGTGTTCTTGGAGGTGGGAGAGGAGGCTCTGAGGAGGAAGTTGAAGTTTTTCTTGAGGCGGAGGGAACTAAGAATGAATGAACAATGAAATTCACGGGAGTTCAACTCCCGTAAAGTTTGAGAGCTTTTTTCGCAAAAACCGACCTGGTTTCAACGTCAGGGTTGAAACCAAATCGTTTTTTGCAAATAAAGTCAAAATGGGTTGTTTTTTGGGATTAAATGTCTAAATAAGACGGTTTTGAAAATTTGTCCTATATATTTACGGTTGCAGAAAGGATCATATGGGTCCTGAAAGATATAGAGCACGAAGTATAGGGTTTACCTAACAGCCTAGGGCATCTGCCAACCCGCTTCGCCAGCCTTATCTATCTTTGTCTTGAATGATGAGTCTATGTGTGTGTTTGATTTATGTTATTATTTCCTTTGCTTTTGTCTTTATTTGAATCAATAAAATGCTTAATTTCCAAGACTTATTTCATAGAGGAGAAAATTTTCTCCAAGTATGCTCACAAACTTTTGACCTCTCCCCTGTCAAAAGTGTATGTCAAGGCTCCAATTTCTTTGAAGATTTGTTATGCTATGTATAAATTTGAGTATATTGAGCTATCAAATTATCAACCAACTAGAGGGGGGCTTACAGTTGGAATGAATTCCAACGACAGACTTTTTAGATCCTTATCTACTTTATTTACTTGCATCAAGTTGGAACATATTTTGGGTGAAATTTTTTGGTTCAGAACCTTTTCTCTGGACCTTTATCAATGATGGTGATATCGTCTCCACATGCATATTTACAGTTCGCTGCTAATTAGAACCATTTTGAACAAAAAAAAAATACTTGTATTCTATTTGTTACATTTACTCAAGAAAATTTTATACTTCGTACAACACCTCATTGTGCGCTGCTTGTTCATGAAATAATTTAAGGAAGCCGCATCTTTCTTTGGCAGTCAGCTTTAGAAATGTTGTATGCTATAAATATCGAACCAGTCCAGTAAAATGGGAGAGAATTATGAGCTTTACTGTCACGCCCCGAAATACGACAAAATTTTATAAATATGGGATTCGCGACAACAACGATCTGTGCACAAGACAAGTTCCGTGCACAAGTCAAGCCTGACACTTCATATAACATACTTATTTCAATGCATATATATAACCCTATTGATGATAGAAGTTCTGAGC